TTGTTCCCTGCTACATTTTTGTAAATCTGTTTTTCCCCCCACAGAATTTTATATTTTGCTAATATGAAGGCATAAAACAGCAGCAAAGGGCGATAATAACTATAGTGATGAACATCAGGGTCATGTTGGTATTCAACGTGGCTACTTACATCATTCTGATGTTTTTGTTAATGTCTCTAAACCATATACTTTGAGATCATAATCATTTCCTTTGATTAGTTTGCATATTAATCTTCTGATGTTCTCCCCACATTAGTGATCCCAAATGAAGTGTGATTCTCCAGTCCTGCTCACAAGAGCTAAAGAGGTATCTTAATGTAAGTTGAAAGGAGTTTTGTCCTAACTCATCGATTGTTCAAGAATGAACTGTTGGGTTTGAAGTCTACTGAATGCAACTTACACTTTTAATAAAAATCTTTATTCCTTGAAAAATGGTATTTGTTGCTAATAATTAGAAATCAGGATACTGATTTTTAGAAGCTATGGACTAAGATCCACCTGTTGGTTGGAGCAGAGTATTGGTTTCCCACTCTAGATGGGCATCCACGCTTCAGTTTGCTACAGTCCTCACCTGGCCCACTTGCCTCATTTTTGTTTCCTGGAGTCACCTGTAGGCATTTGAGTCTGTGGTCACTGAAGGCCTTCTGTAATAAGCTGAATATTGGCCCCCAAAGATATCCAGGTCCTAATCCCTTCAACCTGTGAATGTTATCTTAGATGATAAAAAGGCTTTTGCAGATGTGACTAAATTAAGGATCTTGAGACGGGGAGAGTATCCTGGATTATCTAGGTGGGTCTTATGCAATCACAAGTATCCTTATATAAGAAGGAGGCAGAGGGAGATTTGACCACAGGGGCAGAAGGCAATGGGATGACTGAAGCAAGATGCTATGTTGCTGGCTTTGAAGATGAAGAAGGAGCCACAAACCAAGCAATGCAGCACTAGAAGCTGAAGAAGGGAAGGAAAGAGATTCGCCTCTGGAGGAAGCACAGCCCTGCCAACACTTTGATTTCAGCCCGGTGAAATGGATTTTGGACTTTTGGCTTCTAGAACTGTAGGAGAATAATTGTGTGTTGTTTTAAATCATTTAATTTGTTACAGCAGCAATGGGAAACTGATAAACCTTCTTACCTTGTACATGAGAACAAATAAATTAATAACCTCTGCTCGTGTTCCCCGCCCTCACTACTTTTTTGAGACCTACTTGACCCTGCAGGAAAGAAATTCTTGCACTTTGGAAATCCAGTGTGTGGCTGGTCTGGGGAGGACAAGTGAGATGGGAGGTTCTTAGGGGAAGGATGATGGCCATTTTTCAGCCATCTTTCAGGGGCTCTTGCCATCTTTCAGGGGCTCAGGGAACCTGAGCTGAGGTTCCCAGGGGAATCACAACAGATTGAGAATGGGCAGGAAAGGCTAGTAGCATGAGAGACACTAAGGCTGAATTCCCAGAGTCTCCCTCCTAAGATAGCTTTGTAGATGTCTTAATTTGGACCACTATCCCTTCCCCCTTCTTCTGTGTTGGGGAGCTCTGCCTCCTCACTTCATGGGGTCCTGGAAATCCAGCCCATTGTAACCCCTGCCCCACAATCAAGGGCTGGGAATGTGACCCAAACTAGACCATTCAGATGATCCTCTGGGATAGTGGTTCTCAAACTGGATTGTGCATCAGAATCACCCAGAGGGATTGTTAAACCATAGATTGCTGGTTTGTACCCCGTGAGTTTCTGGGCTGAGAATGTGCCTTCCTAACAAGTTCCCAGCTGAGGCTGGTCCAGGGGCCACACTCTGAGAACCCCTTCTGTGGGAATGTGAATCCCAGAAGATGGAAGACAGGTAGGGATTCAACCAAAACAGATGGTTCATGACTTCCTGTAATGAAATCCCTGAATCTGATCTGATTCAGGGCATTCTGAGGGTCTGGTTATTCCTCTTTTCTTTTAACTGGGTGAGCCACCCTGAGTTCAATTCCTTTTTGCTTAAGGAAACAAGACTTATTGCTTGCAATCAAAGACTTTTAATGGATTGAACTTGCAAGGAACACTCTTGATATGGAAAAATTGGGGCTCGTGGAACACCAACCTTACAGAGCATAGGTTAGACGTAATTTCTGTTTGCCAAGACCGTATTAATGTGGATCATAGCCATCATTTATTGAATGCCTACTATGTGTCTTATAGATGCTAAGAGTTCTACAGATATTTTATGAGCCTTACAGTCACTCTGAAGGGAAGATATTTTTATCTTTATTTCTCATTTGAGGAAATGGAGGCCCAGGAATTTGCTATTGGAAAGATATAAAATCAACATAAATATTGTCAGTGAATGGTAGGCAATACTGAGAAAAAGACAGTATTTTCCTTCCTCTTAGCATATTTCCCTTTTTTTTCACTTTCTCTGGGTGACTAACGGCCCTATTAACCTGCCTGCACCGCTGCTGCAAAAATTCTTTTAAAGGGGCAAGAGGAAACATTGATTTTTGACCATCATAATTAAGTGTTTAAAAAATTTCCAGTTTGCTTTTTGTTTTAAACATTAGATGTTCCATAAATTCTAGAGATATCAGAAGAGCCACATTTGGCTTTTGACCCACAAGTAGATCATCAAAACAAGTTTGACTGACCCTTGGAATTCATATGGAAAGTTAGCTGAATGTTTGGGGACAAATAGCTCATTGTTTTTATTTTTACTATAAGAAGAATAATTATTGGACACTTCTTATGCCCCACATCACATCCTCTTGACTCATCTTTTACTTCAGTCACTACTGTAGCAACTGGCTTTGTGCACAGGTAATCTGACAGACCCTCATATTAGCTGCATAGAGTATCTCTTGCTTTTAACCCCAGGGCCTCTCTGCTGCCTTGTGTGGGACATCCATGGGAACTCGTTTCCTTATACCCAACTGGAAGTGAGAGATTATGAAAAACTCCTGGTTTAAGCTTTCTCTAACAGAAGATGAGCCAGTGGATAAACGCTCCCTTCTTCCAGTTCTTAACTCTTGGGAGGACAACCCTAAGATGTGTTCTTCAAGACTCCTTAGAAGTTCCCAGTGGGATGGAGTGTAAATTGCCTATAGCAGGGCCAACTCTTAAGATTAGCTGTCTCTCCTTCCCTATTTCACTCTCCTCAGTCCCCTTCCCCTGTTCCCTGAAATCACTTCTACAAATAACCAGCTACCTGATAGCCCAGGTTTCAGGCTCTGCTTTCTGACGGAACCTAGGCTAGGACAACATTCCCTGTAGAAAATTAGAATATACAGATAAAGGAAAAGAACACCAAAATCACCCATAATCCTGCCCCCTCTAGAGATCTCTTCTGTTAAGATTTGGGTGTATATTCTTTTTAAAATGCATACACACTTTTTTTTTAAAAGACACTACTGGGATCATACTGTGCTATGGTTATGTATCCTGACTTTTTTCACTTGCAATATTGTGAAAATCTTCACGTGACTAAATTTTCTCCAATGAAATATTTAATAGCTGCACAGTATTTCATTTATTCATTCATTACTTATAGAGCAGCCACTATGTCCCAGGCACTGTTTTGAGTGTTGAAGGCACAGAAATGATCAAACAGATGAAGTCTCTGCCCTCCTGGAGCTGACTTCTGGTTAGGATCTTTCTTACAATCTAACGGGGTGTAACTTATTGAACCAGCGCCCTATTGTCAACTACTTAGATTTCTCCTGATCTCCAGGACTATAAACAATGCTTCAGTGAACAGCCTTGAAGGTACTCTTTGAAATCCTCAATTTTCTTCTCTTGGGTAAATTCCTAGAAGTGGAATTGCTGGGCGAAAGGGGATGCGAGTCAATGAGGGCGCTGGGATTCCCACCCAGATCTGTCTCTCTGTCTCTCTGACTTTGGAGCCTAGGCTAACAACCATGCTGGTAATAGCACTGAATTGAAAACAGTCGTGGTAGCTAGAGGCCGCCAAATGGTTCCTAGCCAGCTTAGGCATGTGGGCTGTATGATTTTAATAATTAACAGGTCAGGTCCTGAGTGTTTAAAAATAAAAAAAGATTAGAATCCTGGGTCTGCAAATTACCAGCTGTGTGATTTTTGGCTCAGTTTTTTCCCAGAACTCTCTGGACAACAGTTCTCATCTTTGAAGTTGTTACTTATTCAGTAAATATTTATTAAGCACCTACTAATAGCTGGCCTACTAATAACTGGCCTCCAAGCTAAGATTGGACAGTCCAGCAGGGAAGGGAGATATTAATAAACAATCACACAAATATAAAATTACAATTGTGTTCTGTGCTATGATGAGAAGTATAGGATGCCGTAAAAATCAGTAACAGGGAGACCTGATTTTTTTTGGGGGGGTGGGGGTTGAGAGATTGAGGTATGAGCTGAGATATGAAAGATGTGTAGGAGCTAACCAGGTCAAGGCGGGGAGAAAAATTCCCTGAGGCGGGAGCAGCAGGTACAAAGCATTTTGAAGATGGCATGCAATCGAATGCCACTTTCTTTCCAACCTCACAGCTCTTGCACTTGTAGTTCCTTCTGGAAATATCTCCTCTGAGATCTGATCTTCCCGTGGCTGGTTTCTCTCCTCGGGTGGTCTCAGAGATAGATGCCTTCCTTGAACATCCTTCTAAAGGTAACCCATCCTTACCTCTTTTATTACCTCGTTCTATTTTCTTCCCGACACCTACCACTGATTCAAGCGCTCATGTTCATTTGCTGAACATCTCCCCCACCACTTGAACGCAAACCCCAAGAAGGGAGGGATTGTTTTGGGGTGAGGCAGATTTAAATACTGAATTCTCAGCAGCTGGCATACAGTAGTTGCTCAATGCATGCTTGTCGAATGCAGGACCAGTGCTTGGCGCAAAGTCTGCGCTTAGCGAAAGCCGAGAAGCTGAGCGCGCGGTCAGCGCACAGACCCGGTCCGGGGGCGCGCCGGGGGCGGGGCGCCCGCCCGGAACCCGAGGGCGGCGGTTTCCGGCCGCGGCGGACACTTCCGGCGAAGGGACCGTGCCGTGGCACCGGGGCCGAGGCGGACGCGGAGGCCGGGCCGGCGGCGATGGACGACCAGAGCCTGGACGAGTTCCGCCGGCGCTGGCAGGAGGAGCTGGCGCAGGCCCAGGCGCAGAGGAAGCGGCGGCGGCCCGAGGCGGCCCCCGGGCGCGGCGAGCAGGCCTCGGGGTACCTGGCGCT